TCTGTGGGACTAAAATCATCTCAGGGAAAGCTCAGCGCTTCTGTCACGGTAACACGTTTATTTGTTTCGGCTAACGTGGGAAGTGAATGCGCTCCTTCCCTGTTTTTTTTCCACGCCGAGGCTTCGTAGATCGAGTAAAATAAGACACAGAATTCACGTGTCACATTTAACGGGTTTAAACTGACGATCAGCCGCGTCGTAAGCGTTCACTTAGCCGGGCCGTGTTTTGTTTGGTGGAGCCTCAGCTAATGTTTGTTTGGTTCAGTATCTTTTGCGGTTATTCACACACGGCTTGGTGTTACAGGCAGTCAGCTGCAGCAGAGTGAGACGAGGCTGGAGATAACTTCTGTTCTCTCCTTAATTATCAGCTAGTAAAACATGCTGGGTTTGTGGTTCCAGACCCGTGTGTGTGTTGTGGTCCAGTTGGTTAGATTTTGAGTGCGCTCACAGTCTGAAGGTGTGTTTGAACTGACTCAGCTGATGCTGTGTTTGAGTTACACGCTGAACAAGCACATTTTCAGAAACCTTTGAAATGAAACTGCATTTTGGCTGTTAACCTTTACTATTTGGGCACCTGGTATAGCAGAACATTCATTAATAAATGTGTGGATATCCAACCTGGGATTGGCAGTGTAATAACATCAACAAATTGAATTACAATGTTTTATTGATATTTAAAATCATTTAAAGTTTCCATCGCGTTATTTTGTTTTGCATAGTGTCATTTTTAGATTTTAGATCTGATTAATTTTGTCTAATCTGCCCTTCATGTTCGTCTCGTTATGCACCTCTGGCTCCCAGTGCTGCTGTTAGGAAGTCACATCCTCATTAATGAATGAATAAATACATTTATTTATGTTTTGCAGAGTCACAGAACATTGAATTTTGTTTTCTTCTCAAATATAAAAGTATGTAAACCTGATTTCTGTACAAACCAGCATCCTACATAAATTTCCAGTTATGAATTCGCAGCAAAGTGTAGTTTTCACATTCTGCATTTCCTGCTAGTCAGTCGTGTGCCCCTCGTCCTGTTGGCTGTTGGGTGACACTGATGTATTCATGTGACGTTACTGTTTGCTTCTGATCTGGTGTAAACACACAGTTAGAGCAGATCTGAAACCTGCGGTTGTTGACCTTTCAGCCGTAGCTGTCGGGGTATGAAGGTCCACAGGAGCCAAAAATGTTCCCGTGTTTGTAAGTAAAGTGAATTGAAACACAGCAGACTGTCTGACTGCACCGTCTTTGTTTCAGGATGGCAGGAGTGTTCGACATCGACTTGGAGACTGAGGACATCAGTGACACAGAGGTGTGCATTAAATGCTCATTTATAGCCAAGTGAGAACAATGTGAAAAATGATCATGTTTTTATACGATAGTTTATTTATGTTGTGTAAATGTATTGTTTAGTTTTGATAAATGCTGTTTTTCTTTACTTTGTCTTCTGTAAATACTATAAACATACAAATTGTGAAATAATGACAAAATATGAAGTGCCACATGTAGGGTAAACA